TAGTCCATGATGCCTTTGCCCTTCGTGGTTGTAATAGCTATGGGGCGCCTCCTGTGTTTAATGAATCAAATTTGTAGTTTATAATTGGTGAGTAAAGAGGAACAGGAAGCCATCGCTTCCGAAAGATCTATAATATTTACTTCTACCTCACAAGGTAACTAAACTTGGTTTCGCAACTGAGATGAATGGCTCTTAAAGGTCCTGAGTTGTAGCTGGCGCACACGAAGATCCAGTAACATCACACACTAGATGCAATGATGGATTCGATATCCGTCTAACAACACTTTCAACTTTTCTTTTCAGTAACTTAAAAGAATTAATCAAATATAAGAGGCCAATGGAGTCTTCACTATCAAGCCGTGTAACCTGATCGTCCGAGCCAGAGGTAGTTCTCAAAAGGACTGTTGCCGAGACCGTCCAACTGTTAACAGACGTTTCGACAAACTGGATGGAAGGCATCATTGGAAGTTTGCTTCTCAATAATTGATTGCCATTTCTACCATAATGTTATTGGCTATACGAATCAAACAATACCAGTCGGTTGTCACTCGTTGTCAGTTTCGATACGTCGATGAAGTTAGTAATGCGATTACTAAAGAAGGAAGAGGGCGAAAATACATCTTCTGCGATAACGTGGTAGTAAGTGCTTATCAAAAATGACATAGACTTGTTATAATTTGGTTGTTCCAACCCAGAAAAAAAAAATAAATAAAATTACCTTTCTTTTTTGTGTGTTTTCTGCCTGCCTGACATGACACCATCTAAAGTAGAGGTAAAAATAGCGTAGTTAGCAGTTTTTTTGGAATTAGTGAGTTTTTTTCTTGAAATCTACATCAGACAAAACCAGTCTTCTAAAATAATTCGCCTCAATAAATGGAACTTAACATATTTCTGTCCCTATTACTAAGGAATACATAATTAAAGAAAAGAGGCTAGGGGAAATTGTTAGAATAAGAATAGAAAATTAAGTTTATCAAAATTGACAGTCGTAAAATTAGTTCAGGACTTTACCT